AAAATAAATATAGGGGGCTAGGTGTAGGGGAACTAAAACGAAACCCTCTGGGACTTTCTACCTCAGTTGTATCTCTTCGGGGCAAGACCCAAAACATGGAACAATGCACGCGGAGCTCATGAGGAGCACATAGGAGAAGAGGAGGCAGATGAAGAGGAAGCATTGAAATCGTGATATTCCAGTGGTCTTTAAGGCCTGTTAGTGAAAAAAAACAAAACAATAAACTTCTAAAACATAAAATAACATTTTGTTAATAATACATATAACCTAAATAAACTTCAAATTAACAAAACCAATCATCAATATTAATAAACAAAATCATGTTTAAATAAAAATGTTTCTATTAGAAAAAACAAAACAACATTATATTCATACACAAAATTTAAAGAAAATTAACCTTATATAGTTTGTTAAAGAAAAAACAATGTATGTAGTTTTTACGCCTAAAATATCATAACCTATAATATTTTAATACAATATAATACATCATACTATAATACAACATCACACTATAATGCAATAGTAAAATACAATACAACAATATAATATAATTTTATGTTTACAAAATCTTCAAGGACAAAGGTTCGGTTTTTCAACATACAAAAAATATTCTGAAGAGCAGCAAATAAAAACCATTCAATTGGAGAGCAATGGGTTCGTTAAAAAAGAGAATATATATTTGAAGAGAAGAATAGTTGGGGTCCTATGAAGACCTGAACTTTGGGCCGAAACATCGGCAAATATAAAAATAAATATAATTATTTACTTTTACTATTTTTTTTACTGATCGTCCCAAACATTCTTCTCTTTAATTATCCACTACAGTCAACCGTCATTCATATCTAATTTACATATAAAAATCATAATGATGAAAAGATGAAAGGAATTTAATGTAAAACTAAATTGGTGTGAAAATTACATATCAAATTTTAACAGCCTTGGTGTATTAAATAATGGCCATGATTGAATAATCCTCTGTGGCCAAATAACCATGTCTCTCTCGTATTTGTGTGAATTTTTGTACAGCCCAGCTCAAAAACGTAAAGACACATGAAAGTGTTATTACGTATTTAAGATATATTAATCAACCTTTGTAATTGATCAAGAAAAAATTAATATTAAGATGCGTAGAATCTGAAAATCGAATTTAAAAATAGCCGCCGTCCGCTGACGTTCTTGGGCTTTTCTGTCCTCAGCAATAAATCCGTCTTTGTGATATACCTAATTTAAATACGTAATTTCAGTTTCGTTTTTCACCTAGGCTGTTCACATACAAACAGATACACAATCACGCACAAATCGTTGTTTGAGACTTGATTATTTGGACTCAGAGACCTCAAAATGTGTATTTCGTTGAAAACTCGGTTTTAAAATTTCCACGATCCTTATACGTTCCCTTACCATATATTTCATATATAAGTATGTGAAAGTAGGAGGGCGGTGTGGCCTCCTGTAAAGATTTACATTGTATTTGTTAAATATACAACGAACCTTTAAATATAAATTTCAATTCATTAGTTCATGATATAATAACTTTACACAAAATTAATCAAACAGATTATAAGGTTAAAATGAATTTATGATTCAAAATCGATCTCTGCTCCAGCTTTGGCAACTTCACCTTTACCTGTTTCTTCAGAACCTTATCCGGTTCATAATGAATCAAGAGTTCCACCAGGTCTAGATTAACCTCGTCAAGTACTCATTAGAGGACCGAAATTTCCGCTTAAAGAATTTTGAGCGCTTTCTTCTGCAAATGGTCTGAATGGATCAGAACTTTGTCCAGGTCTAGATACTTGTGAGTTTCCTTCTGCTCCCACATTGGTAGATACTTTTTCATCTCCATCTAGAAATGTTAAAACAAACATAGAGTAATTCTAATATAATTGGATCATAATAAAAATAACATCTGTTTACTTAAGAAGCTTCCGGATTCTTCATTTCAGAGATTCAATTTTGAGATTATTTTATGAGTTTCAGACTTGCAGGATTGATCAAAGCTGATAAAAAACGGTTTCAAGTAGAATAAGTTGTGTAAATGACCTGATGTATTTTGCTACATAAAAATACCAACAAAAACGTAACAGAAAGACTGTTAGTGAGCTTGTAAAAAGGGCTAATCATGGACACTATGGCGTTAAGTTCGGCGATCAAGATAAATCATGGGCACCTGATTTCCGAGAACATTTACGCCATTGGACTATCGAGAAAATAAAAATTTTGGGGAGAACCCAAAAACCACATTGATAACTGTTATTTCTGCATAGTAAAAATTATTTCAAGTAGAATAAGTTGTGTAAATGATCTGATGTGTTTTGCTACATATGCGAAGAATACCGTTGTTACCGTCGTTATCACTTTGACTTCCCTATGTATGAAAATACTTATATACTCTAAGGTTGGTAAGTGAAAACTGAACGCACCGTATCAGATTTTTCTTGTGGGATATCGAGAAAATATCCAAGAGAAGAAGAGGAAAACCTTTCCCGGCAAGAGAGGCAGAAAGGGTAAGGAGGCTTTATTAATAATTTATTATGAAATTGAATTCATGTCTCATTTTGTTGCTGTTCACCACATTTCTAATCCTCCTTCCGCTCCGGGGTTAGCACCACTTTCAGGTCCTGCCTGGGCAGATCCTCTTCCACTTAGTCCTGCATTTCCTCCAAGTTGTCCTTTAGCACCAGATTGTCCGAAATACCCAGATCCGGCTTCAGCTCCTGCGGCAGATTGACCTTGTTTAGGTATGATTGGAAGTCTTTCAGGACCACTAAACTTTTTTATTCAAAGCATATTTATTATTTATCGTTAATTTTGTTTATTATTATTTTCTACCGCTTTTTTCCAGATTATTTAGTGACAAATCGATTAGTAACCTCTCACCAGCTCTAATTTTGTGTTGACCAGCAAGAAGTTATTATTATCTATTATTGCTTGTTTGTTTTTTTTTTGTGTTTGATATTTTTTACGGCTACGACTCCAGATTTTGTGTTTTCGACTAATAACGTGGTTAAAAGATACGGTAATAAAGGATAACATTGGGAGGAAGGAAGATAGTTATTTTTTTCGTCTTTAACCCATCATTTCTAAAACTATATTATTTTTCGATTCAAAATAAACTTTCATCGCTAACCATAAAGAAGTTTAATAACGCCAATCACGAGATCGAGATATGAAATATCAGTCAAACTCTTCTGGGCATCATGAGTTATATTTGAAAACGATATTGTATCAATTGATGAATGACACTTCATTTGAATCAGAAAGTTTTAAATTTGATTTTTTTAAATATAGTGGGAACTTTGGGGAGTTTATAATACTTCAAATATTCGTTTCTATTGTTCATTTAATAATATTTTTTCCAAACATAAATCGTAGAAATTAGTCGATCATAATTCAACGCCGGCCTCTGCTCCAGCCGCTGCTTCAGTTTGACCTTGAGCAGCTCCTTCAGAACCTTGTCCAGCCGATAAACTTGCTCCAGCCTCGGCCTCAGCTTCACCTTGGGCTGCTCCTTCAGAATCTTGTACAGCAGATCCACCTGCTCCAGCCTCGGCCTTAACTTGGCCTTCAGCTCCTCCTTCAGAACGTTTTCCAGCCAATAAACTTGCTCCAGCCTCTGACTCACCTTCAATTTGGTTTGCTACATCAAAACCTTGTCCAGCCGATCCACCTGCTCCAGCCTCGGCTTCAGCTTCGCCTTGTGCTCCTCCTTCAGAATCTTGTCCAGCAGAACCACCTGCTCCAGCAGAAGCGGATCCTTGGCCTTTGACTCCTCCACTAACTGGGAGATTTAAAGATGATCCACCAAACATCTGCGCTTGGGTGTGGCTGCTAGATTGGCTTTGTTTTGATTCGGTCTTACTGAATTTCATTCCTGTCTCAGATTGTTGTTGTTTACCTCCTGTGATTCCTCCTTCAGCTCCAGCGCTGGCTTCACTTTCAGCTCCTGCTTGGGCAGGGCCTCTTCCACCAAGACCTGCATTACCACCAGTTTGTCCTTTAGCACCAAATTGTCCGAAAGACCCAACACCAGCTTGAGCTCCTGCGGCCGATTGACCTTGTCCAGGTCTGAATGGTGGTCTTTCAGGGCCACCAAACTGTCCACCGGCTTGTCCTTGAGCTTGGGCTCCTACAAACCGTCCACCGGCTTGTGGTCCTCCAAACTGTCCACCAGCCTGTCCATGAGCTTGAGCTCCCCCATATTGTCCACCAGCCTGTCCTTGAGCTTGAGCTCCTGCAAAACGTCCACCGGCCTGTCCTTGAGCTTGAGCTCCTCCAAAACGTCCACCGGCCTGTCCTTGAGATTGAGCTCCTCCAAACTGTCCTTGACTTTGAGCTGCAGCTTGGCCAGAAGCACCTCCACCAAGACCACCAGCTCCGAACCGTCCTCCTGCCTGTGCTTGAGATTGTGCACCTACTTGGGACTGAGGTCTGCCTTTTGAAGAGCCACCGAAACTTAATCCAGCACCTGAACCACCTAGTTGTGCGCCACCCTCTGCTTCACTATTGGCAGTTCCTAGACCATATCCACCTAGAAATGTAAAAGTAAATTTTAAACAATGAAGATTTCAATATCATTAGATAATGGTACATTAATTTCTTTATAAGTGCTAAGCTGGCTGAAAATTCCTAATATAATAGATTATCATAAATATAGTCATGTTTGAAATTTGCTTTCAGCAAAGTATTTTTTGCAATAAACAAGTCTGTACTCGTTCCGGATAGAGAATAAGTTAAATATTTCTTGGCCACCCTCTTAAAAGTCGTCGGGATAGAATACTCGAGTTTGTGGTAGAATTACGTATTTGGGCTAATGGGTTCCTATTTCAAAGTCAGTCTTTGTTGAAAGTATAAGTATAAAAATATTAATTCAAGTCTGATTTTTATAACTGAATATTTTAGTAGAGGAATTTGGTAATATATATCTGAGAAATGGTAAATTTATATTATATACATTATGTACAAGATATATGTACAACTATATACTATAAATGAGATACCATATGATTGGGCTGAGGCTGCCTGGAAGATGGCTAATGCTAACAAGATCAGTTGAGGCTTCATCTCAATGAACTGTCGACCTCAACCTTTGCCCCGACTTATATACCCAGCTAGCTTCTAATTTTTGCAATGCATGATCACGAAGTCAAGAAATATTCAATCACACGTTCTCTTATATTTCAAGTTAAACACATTGTAAAATATTATTTTTACAATGCATTTTGTTTACTATCTATAATTAACTTTTAGTTGTTTTCTTTTCGTTCAGTACTCAGCATGCGTTGGTATAATGCTCCTATTCTTTTAATTTTAAACTTTGTAACAAACCGCATATTTTCTTCACGATATTTTCCCCGAAGTTCGAAAGATTCAGACACTTCTCCTTGGTAATAGGTTTCGACACCAGAGTGACCCCTGAATGTAACCTCCCTCGCTTCATGAACTTCTGGATGCAGTTGATATTCTTAAAAATTGCAGGGCTCCTGGTGTAGATAATATACCCGCTGAACTGTTTAAGTAGTGGATGAACTTTTGATTTAGAAAATATATGATCTGATACTTAGGATCTAGCTGGAGAAGGAAGTGCCGATTTAATAGTCTTCAGGACTCATTGTGCTAATTGTGAAAGAGGGCAAAACGGTATGCCACAATTACACAGGTATTACACTACTAAATGTCGTCTACAAAATATTATGAAACCTTATAATAGCTAGGCTGAAGGTATCCTCAGAACTAATTTTAACTTATTATTAATGTGGTTTTAGGCCCAGCAGGAGGAAGATTGACCAAATCTTTTTTATCAGAAAGGTACTGGAAAAATGTTTCGAGCACAACATAAATGTACATTTGCTCTTCATTGACTTCAAACAAGCATTCGATCGAGTTAATAAGGTCCAGTTAACTTTGGCCTTAAAGGAGTATTCTCTTAAAATTAATTAATTTAATTAATATGACGTCATTCCACTCAAGAGGGAAAGTTCTTATTGAAAATAGAATGAGCAACAAATTCCATTTCAATGACAGAGTTCGACATTATGGTATTCTATCGGCCATATTGTTTATCTTAGCTCTCCACACAGCCCTAAAAACAATTGAACGAAGAGGAAGTTTGGCAACTCGTACCTTTGATATGCAGATGATGAGCGATAAGGGAAGTCCTCACTAAACTGGTGCCCGAACGTAAAAATATTGGCCTAGAAATTAACGAATCAATGACAAAGTACATGGTGGTGTCTGTGTCTGGAGCAAGAACGTTGCCCGGTTTCCAGTTTAATGATTTTTCGTTTCAATCAGTTTAACCCTTTACTTCCCTTAGAGTAACAATTGCAAAAACAAGATGAGTGAAGAGGTCGAGAAATGGATCACGGTAGGAAATAGAGCGTATTACGGTCTTGTAAACCTCTTCAAATCGCCACTTCTCTCTAGAGCTACCAAGATAAAGATTTGCAAATCACTTGTGATGTCTTTTATTTGCTATGGCGCAGGAAACAGATGCTGAAAGTTACAGACCAATACTTGCCATGTGTATTTGAAAGAAAGATCTTAAAGTGTATTTTTGGTCCAGTTTGCGTCCACGGTGTGTGACAGTAGAAATAATGAGGAGTTGCAAGATTTGATAAGGCATAAAAATATATTACGCTTCATAAAATCAGAAAGAATTATCTGGCTTGGTCAAGTGCAGAGAATGGAAGATGATAAAATGACAAAAAAAAATAATGAGAGAGAATGTGTCTGAGAAAAGAAAAAGAGTACATCCTAGGATACGACGGCTGGATGACCTAGTGGAGGATCTCGCAAGGATTGAAATCACTGGATGGAAACAGATAGCATTGAATCGTGACGGATGGAATGGTATGGAATTGTACGGGAGGCCGAAAAAAGGGTACTTTGGACTATAGGCTAAGTAAGTAAGACGTAAGTCATGTAAATTTTAACAACTACCCGAGCACATTCTCTTCAATCATATATAAGACATTTTTCAAATACAGTTTATGTCCACCTGATATGCTGCTTTGAAATAAGGTGTACTCATTATGAACTACAATCCATCGTTTTTCGAGCACTTTTTTTAGGATGAATATATGGTCTAGCATGCTCCTTCCTCTTCTGAATCCATAATGGTCGTTGATGGATATATGCGCTTTAGTAGGATATTGGTCATTGTCTTGTAGGCAACAGGAAGTAGTGTTATGCCTTTGCTATTACAACACTCACACATGCAGCCTTTCTTTAGGACAGCGCAGAATAGGCCTCCAATCTTATGGTATCCTTTCATACTACCATATTTTCTGGATCAGTTGTAGTATCATGGCTCTTAAGTATTCTACCCATCTACAGCTCTGATGGGAGATTGCCCATCACACATCCATATATCAAATATTTTGTAAGGAAATGGATTAGAATCGTCAAAGATTCAGTAGCCGAGTTTTCTAGAGAAATGTATATTTCAGTGTTTTAATTCAATGTCAATGAAGTTTCCCTGCTTCCAAAGATTTTTCGAAAGATATTTCGATGGATTTAATAACTTACTATATTGTCAATAGTATCAATCGATACACTCAACTGTACATATCGATAATATTGTTCGATATGGTTGTAAATCTACTCATTGATACATACTAATCTACTCTTTAAAATGTCGAGGATAGTTATATTAATAAATAAATCGAAATACCGATATATATTTTTATACACATCGGATCTCAATGGCAATCATGTTTTTCCCTTACTTTTATTAAAGTTGTATTAATTTAAGAATAGAAACTGGGAAGAGGCATTTTTTCATAAAACTCAATTCCTTTTGTTAAAAATTACCCAAGACCTCCAATCCGCCATAGATAAACAGAAAATCTCTATCCTAATACTTTTCGACTTCTCCAAAGCCTTTGGTTCCGTCAATCATAAGATCCTCCTTTCCAAACTTCAAAGGCTACCCGTTTCAAACAACGTTCTAAAATGGTTCCTCTACTTTCTGCCCCGTCGCTCTCAGACAGTTGTTATTTCTAACAAATCTCCAACCCCATCCCTTCAATTATCTCGAGATGTTCCTCCTCATTCCTCAGGGTTCCTCCGACTCTTTTCTCCGTTTATATTAGCGACTTTCCTGATTCCATTTATCACTTTCGCAATCACTTATATGCAAACGATTTCCACATGTACTTATCGTTCTAACCTTCTGGGATATCAGAGGATATCCGAAAACTGCAAGAGGATTTGCCCACCTTTGGACTGTATCCAAAGGTGGGCAGAAAAAAATGAAATGAAGCTGAATGCAATATATAATATATACATTGGCAATCAGCCATGGAATTATTTACGACCACATACATACATGTATGCATATTTATTAATATATTTTGTAACATAACTTTCATTTTACTGCCGGATTATGCATGAATTTTTATTATTCTACATGACTTTGCATACTTTTTTTTTGAACATGCTTAAAAAATATGCGTTTTATGAAAAAGTGGAGAATTGACAGAAAAATGAGATGGTGGAATAATATAGTATGTTTTGATAATAACAATATGTATTGAAGAATAGGTGAATTAAAATAGAAAACATATATCTAAATTATATCTGTGATTGTTTGATAGGTATGGTTGTGTAAGTAGAAAATCGATGTAATGGGTAAACTGACTTGTTAATATAAAGTTTCTCTCTGGATATCGTCACGGAATCGAACGTATCAGGACAAACGTTGTCAGGATCCACAAGGAAAGCAATAAAAACAAAGTGCTTAAGTTTATGAAAATATAAGTTTATTTGTTGTATTAACCTAGAAGTCCTCCTAAACCAAGCAAACCACCGCCAGAAGCTGATCCATCCAAACCTAGATTAAGTCCTGCTTGAGTTCCTCCTTGACCTTTAGCTCCTGCTCCACCATATGGTCTACCGTATCCACCGGCTCCAAACTGGCCTTCACCTTGAGTATTAGCCTGTCCATTGGAACCTCCTCCCAACGATAGTCCTGCTTGAGCTCCTCCCTGACCCTTTGCTCCTGCTCCACTAGACGGCCTACCGTATCCACCAGCTCCAAACTGGCCCTGACCCTGAGTATTTCCTTGGCCTTCCAATGATAGTCCTACTTGAGCTGCTCCCTGGCCGTTTCCTCCTGCTCCACCAGATGGTCTACCGTGTCCGCCAGTTCCATATTGGCCCTGTCCTTGAGTATTTGCTTGTCCTTCCAATGATAGTCCTGCTTGAGTTCCGCCCTGAGTTTGGCCTGATTGGTAGTTACTGGGCCTTTGAGGTCTGTATGATGCTCCAGATCCACCAGTTTGGAGTGACAAATCAGCATTAAGTCCAGTATCTCCAGATGGTCTATTATTGTAATAAGTTGGACGACTTGAAGCTCCTCCTTGCCCAGATCCTCCTGCAGATAGTCCTGCTTGTGCACCTCCTTGAGTCTGTCCCTCACCTTCATAGTAACCTGCATCGTAATTTTCTTGATCATATGAATCTCCCTCAAGTTGTCCAGATAAGCCTAATTGTGATTGTGCGTTACCTTTTCCTTGAGAAGATGACTTGCCACCTGCTGAAGCTCCAAGATTTAATCCCACATTAGAAAGCAAATTTCCTATTCCTGATGTTGACAAACCCAATCCTGTGCTCAAGTCTGTTTGGCCCCGTGATGATGCGCCACCGCTACCACCTGTATTCAGAGTAATATAAACTATTATGTCAATCGACTTGTATACACTTAATAAAATATAATAATATTGTATAACGTTTGTAAAAACTGAATGAAATGAAATTCAGGAGGAAATGTTCATTCACGAAATTCCCTATTTCATACCTTTTTTTTTTCATATACATAAAGGCTAAAATTCCCTAATTTTCTCCATGTTGGAAGTTATTTAAATATTTGTTTATTGACATAAAGAATATCAAATACATTTGTATGTAATTGGTTAACTCTTTAAATTGATTAAAAATATACATTAAGATGGGGTAACTTTGGGACAGCGGGTAAAAATTGGTGGTAAAATGGTGATTCCGAGATGGATAAACTGTGTTGGTTCAGTCAGCATAAACATTCACTGCGCTACTTCCATGCAACACACGACTCTTGAGGCCCAAGCGAAAGTTTCATGAAAACAAGTAGTTTAAAAAAAAAAATGGAAATAAATAAAACCTAAGTGCACAACGCGTTTTGTGAACTAGGGTTTTCAAACTTCCGCAAGGTTGTAAACTGAAATAATACAGTGTATCCAACACGGAATCACCACAAACTAAATTTTCCAAGTTCCATAAGTTCCAAAGTTACCCACCCAGCCCTAAAGTTACCCCTATCTTACGGATAATAATAAAAAATAAAAATAAACCCCCACATTTAATCTGAAAAGTCCATTTATGCTACTAAAACAATTTAGAATTTTAATTTACTTTTGATTGTTGAACAGATTTTCATGATTTAGACGATTTTCTGACTGTTTACAGGTGGGCTAAAAGAAAAATAATGTGTGAAAAATCAGACTTTACAATATTTAAACATTCTTCCGATAATATTCCAGCACGGCTTTTGCCTGACAGTTAACTGAATCTTAGAGGTATTTATGACTTTCTAGACCTCCAGATTGGATATGACAACAGACTCATGTTGTAATTGACAACCCAGCATTAATTCTAGTTTGTCGAGGAAGCCTATCGTTGTAAGTTGGCGTCTTCAAGATCCTTCTTCCTCAGATCCTCATATAGTCTTCATTGTGTATCTCCTTGGATTCGTGCCTCACTTTCATAGTTACCTGTTTCGTCATCCTCCTGATAATATGGATCTTTCTCAAGTAGTAAGCTTAATTGTGATTGTATGTTATCTTTACCTTGCGAAGATGATTTTTCACCTGCCGAAGTTCCTAGATTTAATCCTAAGTTTGAAAGTAAATTTCCTAATCCTGATGTCGACAAACCCAGTCCTGAGCTCAAACCTGTTTGCCCTTGCGCTGATGCGCCGCCACCTGTATATATAATATTATATAAACGATTAACTCAATCTACTATACTTAACAAAATATAATTCTAAATCGAATGATTTAGAACATAAACTACTGCGGCACTATTCGGTTAAACATATTATTTGAACATAGACGATAGTCCGTGGTACAGACCACTTTTTATCGAATTATTAATATCCGCCTGAAACTTCGTAAATAGTTCCATCTCATCGTAACCTTAAAGTATTTTATTTACGAAAACTCTAGGGATAGGGGCGCTTTCAATCTTAAAGGGTTCAAACCTTGTCTATTTAATTATTTACTTAAAACTCGTAAATACCCATTTCCTTTCTACTTGGATCGTAACATAATTCGATCACAAAATCGATAAAAAAGGTGGCCTACAAAAATATTTGTCCTATATAACCACGTTATTTTGAAAATTTGGAGGTGTAGGTCACGTCAAACGGCTCAATAGTTTTCAGGGCTACTTTTGTTTTATCGCTTTTGTGATCAAATTATCTTGCGATCCAAGTAGAAAGCAAATGGATATTTACGTGTTTTTAGTACCTATTTAAATAGACAGAGTTTGCTCCCCTCCAGATTGAAAACGCCCCAATTCGAAGAGTTTTGCTAAATAAAATAGTTGTAGGTTACGATGAGATGAAACTATCTGCGAAGTTTCAGTCGAATGTTAATAATTTGATAAAATTTATCGAATTCCTAATCGAGTATTTAGCGTAGCTATTGATTCCGACCTGTCTTGTTTTCATATAATTTAGACGGGACCCACATACAAATATTTATTTTCCGCTTCCTACTTACTACAATTCAACTTCTTCTGTTTTTTTTTTTTTGTTTTTTTTTGTTGTTTTTTTTGTATATTTTGTTGTGGTAGTCTCAAGAGAGAAAATACTCACCTTCATCTCCCATTTGATCAGAAAATATCGAGATTCTGGATGTAACGACATCCTAAACTCAGATCTCATGCCCTCCAAGTAATTCTCTTTTTCAAATAGCATTCTTGTAATACTGTTAATTTATTTTTAAAAATGTTCTACTACAACCCATGATGATTTCCGAGTTCAAAGGCTTAGAAAGGTATCCCTATTAGTGACGGTAGATGCTCCTATAGGTTCTACCAATCCCAGTGTGGATCCAGGGTTGATATAAAAGAATAAATAATTATTTGATATAGCCTGAATCGAATCTAGACCCGGGAAAAGGAATCGTAAGCAGTTCAAGGTTATTGTATAGTGAAAAGTAAAGTACAACTACGTCTCGCTTTTTCCGTTTCTATTTTAGGGGTATCAATTTTTTCTCCTCATTAAAACACATTATTTTAAGGTTTCTTTGTATTATTGAGAATACAATAGGAATGAGTTACCAAGAAATAGGCCACGAGATCCTCCAACCAACGCCGAAACTAGTAAGATGGGTAGCAGACCCTTCATGGTTTCGAACTGATCAACCAACACATCTTAATGCTTTTATAGATATGCATTAATGATTCCATGGCATCTCATATTCATAATCACGAGCATGAAAAATTATTCTTCTACACGTCTTCTAGAAAATGGTAAACATCACCCGGATGTCAACCAATTTAAAAATAGACATAAATAAGTTATATGAATATATTTATGAGATATTTATTTATAACCCATATTTCAGAGGATGGGTGGAAAGAAAACAACTAAAAAAAGTATAGGACAAAGGAGTTCATGGGTAACTAAATAGAGTGTTGAGTATAGTAAATAGAGTACCGAAACTCCTGATGCAATAAGGACACCGATTATGATGGTTACATCCATAATCTGTTAGATCTTTTATCCATTTAATTGCTTCACTCCGACATGAGCAGCTTAGATCTGATGCCCTGTGCTTTCGCTGACAATTGGCACAATTAGGTTGTTGTTCTAATCCCATGAATTACCTTAATCGATAAGGAACAATCCTTCTAATATTACAAAAATCTAACGGGAACAAACCTGACGACATAATCGCAACCTAAAGGGAACATACATTCCTAAATTGTCATATTTTAAAAGAAACATGTCTTTGGATATTAACTCAACCTGAAGGAAAAAAACCTTCTATTATTACCATAATTTAAAGGTAACAACATGCCTTCCTACATAATAAAACGTTGCCAGAGATAAAATAAATTACAAGCAGGGTGAGTCGGCTTTTGGACTTAACGAATGTTAAGCAATAGAAAATAAACGTTGACACATATTAGAGATATTAAATAATTTATTAAAATAAATTATAAAGTTTTTTTTTTATTTGTATTCGCCTCTACTCTAGAGAGTCATTGGCGGTTTTTCTTAATTTTTATATTTTACTATAGTGATTTGCTTCCAATAAATATTCAAAGAGAATGACGACATTTTCCTCATTCTCAATGTTGTCGAAAGCTTTAGTTTTTGTCTCTCTTTTTTATATTGGGGGCACTCTAATAGTAGATGTTTAATTGTTTGAGGTGTATTGTCACAGTTTTCGCAGGTTGGCGCTTCGAGACCTCTAAGTAGGTATCCGTGTGTGAAAAGGCAGTGTCCGGATTCGCATCCGGCACAATATTATTTCTTCTCTTCTCGACCTTCTGAAGCTTGTGGTCCATGTGTTGCACTCGGTTTTTATTTCGGCTAGTTTGGCTCGTTGTATTTTCCATTGACCTTACCAATTTTTTAATAGCTTTTTTCTTGCTTCATGGATCCAATCTTCTACGGTGATGTGATTTATTGTTGTTATGCTTGGTAGCTCTCCCTTTCTCGCCAAATGAACAGCTTGGTCTGCTTTTTCATTACCCATTATGCCACTATGGGATGGAACCCAGACAAAGACCACACTTACTGATTTTTTTCTCATCTCCCACCATACGTTTATGATTTCTCTAATGAGGGAGTTGTCAGGCCATGGATTACTAAAAGCCGCCACAACTCTTTTGGAGTCGGTTGCTATGATCCATTTTTTTTCCTTGGAATTCGATATCCAATAAAGGGCCTCTATTATTCCAATCGCTTCTCCACTGAATATGGAGCACTCTCTTGGTAAGTTGAATAGTAGCTGGTTTGCGGTTGCATAGACAGCGCAAACAGCGATATTTTATACTTTTTTTTTTTTTTTTTTTATTTATTGAATAATAATACAATCAGCCACTGGAGGGCTATAAGTATTAGGGCTAAGAGTTCTCATTCAAACAATATATACAAATAATAGAGAAATAAATATAAATATAAAAAGTAAATAAATAATACTGATGAAGAAAGAAAATAAAAGAAAAAAAAAATAAACAATAACATAAAAAGAAACTTATAAACACAATCATACCTATATACAATATATACATTCGCCCAAGAATCTCCGAGCCAGGCTTTTTCCCCCACATGTGGAAGGCAAAGCAAGACTCCAGGAGATTCCAGTGCCACTTTTCCAGCCGCATCACTGGTATTAGAAGCCAATGGAGACTGAAAGAGGGCACTAGAGCCACAGACGCTCGGGACATGAGTGGAGAAGCTGGCCATTGCCAGGACTCCAGAAGCATATTTACAAGAGATCTCTGGGCCACTGCCGTTTTAACCTTCGTGGAGGATTGTAGGGATGAAGGGAGCTGGATAGGGATTGAGCTAGAGGATTTGGATGATGGATAAGGTTTTGGTGAAAGTTTGAGAATCTGGTTGGGATGATGTCGAGGACAAATGGGATGTTAAGGTCATGGTGTAGGGTCTTGTTTGTGACATAATATGGGGCATTGACTATTGTTCTAAGTACTTTGGACTGGAAGGATTGGATGCGTTTGATATTCGAATGTTTAGCAGTTCCCCACAGTTCAAGTCCGTAGGTCCAGATAGGTTTCAGTATGGTCTTGTAGATTAAAAGTTTATTTTCAATCGAAAGATGGGATGTCCTACTTAGTAATCTATACAGCTGGCCATATCGTCGGTTAAGTTCTTGTCTTTTAAGTCTGGTATGTGGGTTCCAAGTTAGTCTTTTGTCAAGAAGGAAGCCAAGGTAACGGACTGTGTCTGAGTAGGGAAGTGGAATTGAATTAAAAAGGATTGACGGACAGGATCTGCGTCGCAGGGTAAAAGTGATATGTTTGCATTTTGATTCATTGATTTTGATGCGCCAGTTGTTGCACCACTGCTCAATCAAAGAGAGGTGAGATTGTAGGTTTAGAGATGCTATTTGAGGATCTGAGTGGGAAGATAGAATGGCAGTATCATCAGCAAATGTAGCTAGAAATGTATCGGGATTGGAAGGGATATCGGAAGTGAAGAGGATATAGAGAACTGGGCCCAAGACACTGCCTTGTGGAACACCAGCCTCAACTGGATAGTAAGTGGAGAATGCGGTGTCACAACGGACTTGAAAGGAACGATTTGAGAGGTAGGATTTGAGGACTAGGTATAAGGATTGGGGTAAATGGGTTTTGAGCTTGAAAAGCAAGCCATCGTGCCACACCCGGTCGAAAGCTTGTGCTACGTCCAGAAAGGCACCAGTGCAATAATGCTTGTTTTCAAGTGCAGAGGATATATGGTCCACAACACGAAGGCCTTGTTGGACAGTGGAATGTCTTGAGCGGAATCCAAACTGATGAGAAGGGATGTTGTGGGATTCGATTATGGGTAGGATGCGTTTGAGAAGGATTTTCTCAAAGATTTTTGAGAGGATCGGGAGTAAGCTTATCGGTCTATAGGATGATGTGTTATTAACAGGTTTACCTGGTTTTGGAAACAGGATGATTATGGAATGTTTCCACACCAAAGGAAAGTTGGTTGTGCGAAGGATGCAGTTGTATAGATAGGTAAGGAATATGATTGCTTTTTTGGGAAGTTGTCTGAGGATTTGTGAAGTGAGGAGATCATATCCAGGGGATTTTCGGGGTTTTAATTTGTTTATAAGGAATTTGACCTCAGAGGGGTTAACAGGTTTTGGAGGTAGAGAGAGAGGAATTGGTGAAGAGAGGAATTCTTCAACTTCAGCAGTGTGGCTGGGATGGAGTTCGGGGTGAGGGGTGAATGTGTAGGATAAATGTTTAGCAAACTCCTCTGCTCTATTCGCATCTGACGAAGCCCAGGAACCATCATCACGGCGAAGTGGATGGGAAATGGACTGGAATTTAAGGATTTTTTTGGTTACGTTCCAGAGGGAGTTATCACTAGCGGATAATGAGGAGAGGTAGGAATTGTAGGATTGGGTTTTAAAAGTTTCCAGTTTCTTTTTTACCTGTTTGGAATAATAATTATACGATTTCCGGTCATCAGGATGCCTAGTTCTTTGCCAAAGGGTCCTAGAGCAACGTTTGCTATGGATTAGGTCCAATAGATCTTGAGGTAAAGGATTTATGTTATGGTATTTTTTGGGACGATCAGGTGAGGATGCAGTCCAAGCTGCTTGCTGGATCAGGGTAGTGAAGGAATGCACTGCATCGTCGAGGTCTTCAGGTGTTTTTAAGGAAACTCTGAGGTCAATATTATCTTCCAGTATTTGACGGAAAAGGTTCCAGTTAACTGGCCCCCTGATAAATGAAGGTGGGGATGATTTGGGAATGGGAGATGTGGAAACGGTTAGGACTAGAGGACTATGGTCTGAGGAAAGATCATCAAACCTTGAAATAGAACAGTGTAGTGATCCTAGACCTTTGTGGAGGAAAAAGTCTAGAAGGTCGGGATTGCGGTTGGGATCTGTTGGCCAGTATGTGGGTGTATTAGGTGAAAGGATGTTGCTGCGATGGGAATTAAGTGCAGATAGCAATGTTCGGCCTCGGGAATTTGTGGATCTGGCTCCCCATTGCTGGTGTTTTGCATTTAGATCTGCACCTAGGAGGAAGTGGTGTCCTAAGGAATTCAGGAAGGAAATTATTTGGGATTCGGAAATGGGTGTTTTAGGTGGGGAATATGCCGCAACTAGTGTTATTGGGTAAAGGGGTGTTTGGATTATTACGGCTGTGGATTGTAGGAAATTATGGCTTGGTAAGGGAAACAAATGATGGGAAACGGATCGATGGATAATTATGGCAGTGCCACCATGTGCTGTTCCATCAGGATGGTCGGTTCGATAAATATTGTAGCCGGGCACGTTGATTTGTCGTTTGTTGGTTAGTCGAGTTTCAGTTATTAGTGCTATGTCGATGTTTTTGTCATGTAATAAGATTGTCAGTTCGTTGATGTGGTTCCGAATACCATTCGCATTCCAGAGGAGAATGGAGAGGAATTTGGTTGAGGACATTTATGGATTTCTTGGCAGTGGAATGAGGTTGGATATAACATTGGTAAGTAGCGAAATAAGGGGGGTAATGAGAGATCTAAATTCGGAAAGGAAAGATGTCAATAGGCTTGTGAGGTCAGTGGAATTGGAAGGAGGAGGAATGAATGTGTGAGTATTTAACCTACGTTCAGGGATGGAGGGATATGGGTCTTGAGGTTGATGTGTGAATTCTTGAGGTTTAGATTCTTGTGGCAGGGCCTGAGATTGAGTGTTTACAGTGTCTCCTTTGAACATCTGAGCATAGGACACTCTTCCGTTCACTGTTCTATAGGGTTGTCTTGGTGGCCTGGATGTCCCTTCTTCTCTAGGCGTTGCGTACATTCGTGTTTTCAAATCTTTGTAAGTTTGACAACCCTTGTAGTTGGCTGGGTGTCCTTGGTGGCATAAAGCGCATACTGCAGGTGAAGTTCTAGACTTCCTACAGTCCTCTGTTTTGTGTTGCTCACCACACCTCACACATCTAGGAATGTGATGACAATACCGTTTCGTATGGCCATAAGCCTGGCAGTTATGGCATTGAACGATGTCGCGCTTGCTGTAGGGCTTTTCTACAACAACGCTTGTATAATAAAGGCGTGTGACCTTGTAGATGTTTTCGACATCAGGTGTTCGGTCAAGGTCAACGAAGAATAGTGGAAGAGGTATTTTATTTTTTATTCCAGGCTGTTCTCTATCCTCCTTAAATATGTTCACTATCTGGCGAACATGGAATCCCATACCCGTGAGCTCTTCTTTTATAGCATCTGTTGGCGTAGATGGGTGCAGTCTTCTGATAACGACCCTGAGCGCCCTCTCTTGACGCAGTTGATACGTGTGGTAATCAGCCTTGGTGTCAGATAAATATTTTATGATTTTTCTATAGGTTTCTGGAGTGTCGGGCATTAACTTAGTGTCATTGGTGCGGCTTTGGCATAAATATTTTCCTGAACCTACCAGATTATTCAATTGATTACACATCAATTGAAAATTTTTAATATTTCTAACAAATATTGGTGGGGGTTTGGGTTCTCTGGGGATGGATGCTGCTTCCATTTGTTCGTTGTTTATATTTGAAAGCACTTCAAATGGATTCGAAGTGAAAAACGGCGATTCTTCACCCATAGCTTGAGTTGTCTCATAATTGTTGGGTTGTTGTGAGGAGCCAGGTTGGGGTTCCACTTCTTCTATGGAGCTCCCTGGTGTGGCTGGTGGAGTGTTTCTTTTCGAATGCCTTGTCTTTTTTTTAATGGGAGAACTAATTGTAGTATCCAGGCTCCTGGACCTAGTGTTTTTGCCCTTACTCGACATTAGCATGTGATAATATCGCATTTCATATTTATTTTTAAAAGAAAAATTGATAAAAGTGAAGAGAGGAAAAAAAAAAAATTTTATTGAACACGAAAATATAGACGCGCTCTTGGAGAGCACAGATCTGCCTCCGACGGAGGGATCTAGCCCACTGGTATTAACGACTGTTGCAGCTTATGGCTGGCCGTTATCTAACTAACCTAAGGTCTATTTACACTGTTCACTCTTGTGTTGTAAATAAGTGATTACTCACCTTATTTTTTTTGTCCAGTATCAAACGTAATTGTTAATGTAACTGATAACACTAATTGTTCACATTAAACTTGTATACTGCCACTGATAAATGAGATTTTTATAAGAGACGACCTGACGTATGTTTAACTAGGGCTAACGCATGCGCAGAACTCATTTTATACTTTAGAGGCGTCGGTGTAAATGACGTTATAACCGTTATAACTTTCTAGTAATCGGAAGAAATAAGTTTGTATTTCTAGTGGGTGATCTTTGGAATATCGAGTCATCGATATGTCTACAGACGGTCTGAATTTCTTCCAGTAAGAAAATTTGAGATCAGGAATGGGCCTTATTGTGTTTATAAATATAAAGTTATACACTTGTTTATTCAAGTATTTAAGTAATAACGTGTAATAGTGTCAGCGAATAAGCTGATAAAAATTGTACTGATATTTTATCGGTAACTGAAAAGTCTGACTATGACATGCCGATAGGAGTTTATGACATGTACTTCAAATGTAATAAATATAAATGTAAGTAATGCGAGTCGATAGAAGGAAATTTTTAAACTTTTATATATTTATTTTTTATTATATTAATGTAAACAAGATGTCTTTGTATTCCCAATGTCTTTAAGTAAAATTGCAACAAATATTTTTCCAAAATAAGAAATATAAATTTTAACAAATAACAGTTGAGCTGAAATTATGTCCCATGAGTTTTCAGCTTATTAAACATGTTCAGGACAAATTTATGTGACTATTTTACCAAGAAATGTTTAAAACAAAATTCATCATTGTCTCTATCACGATTGACAAAAATAATATCCTTGGTGAGATTGTGATGACCGAGCTTGTCAAAGAATAAACTTTACTATTCTCGAGGCTTGCAACATTGGTTCGAATCCGACCTGGCAAGTTCAAAATTTATATCGTGGCGGACACCTGGAATGAATCTCGACCTTCTCACTCTAGTTAGAATAGGTTTGGTTGTGCCTCTAAAATAACTTTCCCTCCGCAACCATATGTCAGAAACAGCGTGGTAGAGGTAATCGAAAAATAAAATTTTGTAATCTATGTATTAATGTATTCGAGTTTTTTGTTTTTTTTGTTGTAAACATTGTACTTAGAGGCGAAAGTATTGCGTCTTTTTAAAAAATACCAGTGAATCTCAGCTAATTCTTCTCCGGCCTTTTATTTTTACTCATTTTGTTAAACACACTTTTTTTTTGTTTTTATCTTAGATTTATCCGAAAATATAAAGTAATGAATACGAAGAAATTTCATTTATTTTTGTTAGTTTTAATTCCTTTTAAATTTTATGACATGGCTCCAAACAGCTTCTTGACCCAACAACCGGTAAAAAAATTGATTTCTCAATTCAGTAATTGTTTCGTTACAACCCCATTTCATCAGCCAATGAAAGTAAAAAAGTATAAAACTATCAACTATCATCAAAAATTAAAATCTTCAAGTATCAGTGAAACTGTTATTAATATCACCCAACAATGAATTGTAATTTATGAGATATCAGGGGAAAAAAATGAACAATAATTCGAGATATTTCAATCTTTATCAGATTAAGATGATGTTTTAATGATAGGACAACTATTACATAGTGAGCCCAAAGCTTGCTGATCCACTGGCGGCACCAGCAGCCGAGCCTCCTTTGACACCGACTCCAGCACCAGATTGAGCTCCTGATGCGGCTACTGCTCCTGCACCACCTTTTCCTCCTTGTGAACCTTTGGACCCTACTTGAGCCTGTGCACCTGCTTGAGCATTTCCTCCAGCAGAACCTTTGGATCCTGCTTGGGCACCTCCTTTAGACTGAGCACCTGCTTGTGACTGTGCTCCGGCTGCTCCACCGGCTCCTAACTTCATTCCTCCTTGTGCCTGACCGTTTCCTCCAGCAGAACCTTTGGATCCTGCTTGGCCTTGTCCTCCGCCTTGAGCTCCTCCTTTGCCATGAGCACCTGCTTGGGACTGCGCTCCTGCAGCTGCACCGGCTCCGATCTTAACTCCTCCTTGTGCTTGACCATTTCCTCCAGTTGAACCTTTGGATCCTGCGTGTGCTTGACCTCCAGCTTGAGCACTTCCTTTAGACTGGGCACCTGATTGAGAATGTGCTCCTGCTGCTCCACCAGCTCCAATCTTTATTCCACCTTGTGCCTGACCATTTCCTCCAGCTGAGCCTTTAGATCCAGCTTGTGCTTGACCTCCAGCTGAGCCTTTAGATCCTGCTTGTGCTTGACCTCCAGCTGAGCCTTTAGATCCTGCTTGGGCTTGACCTCCAGCTTGAGCACCTCCTTTACCCTGTGCTCCTGCTGCTCCACCAGCACCGATTTTCACTCCACCTTGTGCCTGACCATTTCCTCCAGCTGAACCTTTGGATCCTGCGTGGGCTTGAGCACCTCCTTTACCCTGAGCACCTGATTGTGAATGTGCTCCTGCTGCTCCACCAGCTCCGATCTTTACTCCACTTTGTGCCTGACCATTTCCTCCAGCTGAGCCTTTAGATCCTGCTTGGGCTTGACCTCCAGCTGAGCTTTTAGATCCTGCGTGGGCTTGACCTCCAGCTTGAGCACCTGATTGTGACTGTGCTCCGGCTGCTCCACCAGCTCCGAACTTCACTCCATCTTGTGCCAGACCATTTCCTCCAGCTGAGCCTTTAGATCCTGCTTGGGCTTGTCCTCCAACTTGAGCACCTCCTTTAGACTGGGCACCAGCTTGTGACTTAGCTCCCGCATGAGCTTGGCCTGATTGCTTGCCAGTTATTCCTGTGCCGGTATTAACATTGGCCTCAGCATTTGCTTCTGCATTACTCCGCCCAACGACGAAGGATTCAATATGTGGGACTAAAAATATTGTCATCATAATATGATATTAGTACTATTTTAAAGAGAATGAGTGATGTAGATATATTTCTACCTTGATATAATTTTAAAAAAATAAAAACCTAATATTTATTTTTTTTTCTCCCATGGATCTTCGAAATTTAATGATATGAGGTTTGGGATTTGAGAAAAGATTTCAGTTGACTTAGTTAATATAACACCCAGATTAAGAAAAATGTCGACGAATTCACGTGAAAAAGTCACACATGTCTTGGGAGCTTAATAAATGTAGGCCAATAAAATAGGCATTCAGAAGTCGAATGTTGTTTCTTTGACAAATACTTCTCAGAAGTTAAAGTCATTTTTGCAGTTTACGAATAAACAACGTCCAGATAATGCATAGAACTACGTAATTTATAGAATGATCATAATGCCTCTAAATATATACCTTATTCCAGACTGAAATTTGTTTGACAGCACGTCATGAATCATGAATCATGTAAACCTTAAGAAAGAGTTAACTGTTAACCTATAACGAAGAACTTGTCCTGATTGAAAAAGAAAGCACGTCCCGAAATTTGGAAATATTACTGAATGATTACAATGTAGAATGTTGGTTTTTTTTTTTTCTGGTATAATGGTTCCGTGGGATACTTACGACCTACGATTTGCTATTTAAAATATTAATTAAAATAAAAAAGCAGTCGGCAATCCTTTAGGTAAATAACGAATTAAACAAGAAATATATATTTCATCAACTCAAAAGCTGTATATAGTTCAATCGTTTACAAAACTTACCTAGCGACGCTAGGAGGAGAGCTGCTACTGCAAAGATTACAAGACACTTCATCTTGATGAACTGTCAACTTTAACCTTTGCCCCTCTTATATACCTGATCTTTGGCTTATTCTTAGTAATGGATAATCACGTACTTGACAAACATTCATTCTCAGGAATAAGTAAACAAGTTATTATAAGTACATAGTAATTTTCCATAAAAAAATATACTGTTAAGAGGGTAAAGATATTCATTTTCATGGCAAATCTTTTCTACAGACATAGGTTTAATATAACTAAAAGATCTATAGGTTATCTGTTCAGTACTTGTCTTGGACATTATCAAAAGAGAAATCAGTAAATAATAAATTGACCCAGATTTTACATTAAGTAAATGTTTTGAATTGGTCGTATAACATGCTAGAAAAAATGGTGAAATATGGATTATAAATTGTGCTTCATAAGCATAACAATCAGTGAAAATATGCATCACCGACAGACGGACAAAGCCAAACTCAGAGGAAATACAGACACAGACAAACGAAAAACCACACACAAAGAGAAAAACACAGACCTGCATATATAGACAGACACAGACACGCAGACAGAGGGAAACAGACAAACACAAAGAGACAAACAGGGACTTAAACTGACACAGACAAACGAAAAACATAAGCAAACAAATACAGCCACAGAAAAAGTCAGACCCGCTCCACTTTGTGTACTTGGTTATTTACACTCAGAGAACCTCCAAAAATGTTGTCATAGGGTTGTGATTTTTGAAGAAATAAGAACTTTTTTGACCCTTTAGGGGGTATTTTTTAAAGTATCACCAATATTATTTTTCAATTCCTCTTCATTCTATTGTGCTTCTTATGTGTAACAGTCGGTCAACGTATGCATCACCATCTCCGATAAGAATCACAGGCACAAAGAACCAAATTGTCACATAGGCAAACACAGAGCTACATGCACCGCCCTTCTTAACCTTCGTTCCTTCATATCATGAGATATTGATTGAACAATTTCCATGAGCAGCTCTTAATTGGCTTTTCTTCCCCATGTGCGATCCCAGATCGCTCCGGTTATCGTGCGAAGGATTTTTCTCCCCTATATTTCAATACTTTCTTTAGGACGCCAGTTATTGACCAGCCATACATTAGAAATGGCTTTGTCATAGCATTGTATACCTTTGACTTCAGATTTTCCGGAATTTCAATACCTTTGAAAGTGATAATAGGCTCTTTTTTCGCTTGTTATACGCACATAGACAGACAGACAGAAAAAGTCAGACACAGACGCACGAAATCGAATTTCCTCATGGATCGTGATATCTAAACGAAACTGCCCACATTAAAATCTTAGTGATTTTCTCAATGTTCTCTTGATTATTTCCAAGGACAACTATACCATCAAAGAAAGAGACAGATACAGAAAGGCACACATCATTTTGCGGGACGAGGTTATTTAGACTCAATGGACTTTTTCTGTGTTTCTGTCTATCTGCTGTTAACGGTGGATGTTTCTGTCATTGTTCGTCTTTGTCTTTTTGTTTCTGTTGTGTTTAATAGTGTCTGTCTGTCACTGCATCATTGTCTGCCTGCGTTTGTCTTTGTCTGTCCCACTGTGTCTGTGTCTGTCAATGTGTATATCTGTATTTGAGTCTTTGTCTTTTTATGTCTGCCTCTGTCTATCCATGCTATACAGACAGCCACAGATAAACAAAGAGAGCCTGACAGGGACTTTTACAGACACAGACACCCACCATTTTTCGAGACTTGGTTATTTGGACTGAGGAGACCTCAAAACATGTATTTCTGTTGAAAACTCAGATTAAAAAATGTTCACAATTGCAATACTTCCTCCTTAGTACATATCACATTTTTCGGTAAGACAATAATTGGTGAGAGAGGCAGGACTCTACATTTTAACATTCCGATTCCCTCATGTTTCCTGACATCTAAACGAAACTACCCGCATTAGAGTCTTAGTAAGTTTCTCAATGATTTCTTGATTATTTCCAAAGACAGCTATATCATCTGCGTACCCATGGATTTTATTCATTCCGACTTACACGCCTCCTTTTTCGTATGATGTTCTCATCACCTTCTCCAGCGCTAGGTTGAACAACATCTGTGACAGTGCATCTATCTGCCGTAAGCCCGTTCGAACTTTGAATACTTCAGATACTTCTTCCTTTATTATGACCCGACATTTTCGGTTATTTGTAGACGATTTTGTCATTCTCACCAACTTGCCGTATTCAGTCATGTTTTTCCAAAGACAGTTCTTGTCTACAGAATCATAGACTGCTTTAAAGTCGACCAATAAGGTGTGAACATCCTAAACTACTTCCCATCGTTTTTGCGTACTTGTTTTGGAATGAATATCTAGTGTAGCGTGCACATTCCTCTTCTGATTCCAGGTTTGTGGTTACTTTTTATATTTTCGTAATACAGATATATCCGGTTTAGTAGGATATTGGTCATCATTACCTTAGGCAACCGGAAAGAATGAAAGCCTCCCATATTTTCAGGGTTAGTTGTTGCAACTTGGCTCTTGAAGTCTTTCCCATCTTTTAACAATTTTGGTGCTATGTTGTCCATTCCTAAAGCCTTTCTTTAGCTATTTCCACATCTAGTATATCTGTTTTTTCAACCTTTTTTTTGTGTCAAGGTATTCAGTGTGGTCCATGTCTTGTTCGTTCGTGGGATCCCCTTGATTGAGAAGCTGCTGGAAATGTTCTTTACGGATGCTCAATATCTTTTTTTTATATGCCGTTAAAATGTCAACTATTTTGCATATTTTCCGCTTTTCCAAGACCAGTCAAAAAATATTTTTTTCTTCATTTATAGTACTGATAGTTTTAAAAACTTTTAAATCCAATAAAAATTTGCCAATTTTTTTTTCTTTTCCCTTTTTAGGCTTACGATTCCCGTAAAGTCAGAGCCTCCTGCTTTTTCATCCGTCGTCATCTTTAAAAATTGCAACCATCATCCAATCATGGACACCAAGGATAGCTTGTGCATCTGCTTCCACTCCCCCAGCCCATTTAATCTAAGGTCTGCCGACAAATGTTTTTGTGTGAATTCGTTCCTACAACAATTTTCTTAATATATGTTTTACAAGCATCCCGCGTATGTTTTTTTTTCACCTAGGTTATACAGGATTTCTGGGTCAAAGGGTGGGGGCGGGGGTTTTAATGTCAGAATTAAAAGACCCTTCAGGTACCGGGACACGAACTCGTAACTTTTATTTTTGTCCTCCCCTTCCTCGCCTTTAAGGCTATACGGAGTTTTCCCGGGCCAGGGAGTGTGGGCAGAGATTTAAAAGACTCCCTTGGCACCGGGACGCGAACTCGTGACTATTTTAAATCCATTTTTTCATACATCAGATTGCCGGGAAACGACGGTGCTGTGCACACACGTTAGCCCGTTCGGTAACCCCGCCCACTCGTAACTCGTAACTATCTTTCACTTATAACTTCGGTTATGAGGTTGCCGGGCAACGCGAGGTGCTATGCACACGTATTAGCCCGCTCGAATATCCCGCGTACCCAGCCCATCTTAATCTGCTAATCCTAATTATTCTAACAATATCGGTACCCCGATATAGCTCCTTCAGCTTGTCGTATGTTCCCATTCGCTTTTCTTTGTTAATATTGAGTATTGGACCAAACATAGCACTAGTATGATTAAGGTTTATATATTTGTATGATCGGAGCTTGGTTGTGCAGAAGATCGCACTGTGTTAGAGGCGTCTTTGAAATCTAAAATATGTTCTTTTTGCGGTCATCGTACATTTCTGGGTTTCTGCATTCATGTTATTATTTCACTAGATTTATTTTTGGAGTTCCCAGACGCTCTCATGGCTTCAGTTGGTAAGCCGAGTTGAAGTGGCTCTATCCAGTCTTCCGACGGCAATACTTCCTAGGCGTATTCCTTTTTCGAACCTTTTCAACCAAAAAACCTCTTTACCTTCTCGATATGTTTACTCCGTTCCTCTGTCCATTCCAGCCCTCCAACCTGTTTATTCCTTCTCATAGAACTGTCTACTTTAAAAAATCCTTTATCATACGTTCATACCTCGTTTGGGATTTCCTACTAACCTCCATACTTAAATCCTCATCCTTGACCTCATTTAAACATAATTTATTTATCCATTAATCAATCCTCCGAATATGTGTAAATAATTTTAACGTTTTTCAGACCTGTCAGTCGCATTTAATGTTATCCTACAGATAATTATATATCATCCACATTATATATGTGTACAAATATGTGAACTGACATATCTGAATTTATCTACAATTTCATATGTCTACCAGTGCCTTTTATTTATTGTAATTTTAAATCTAGATAACCTTGTAATTTAATTTATTCCTGATTATTTCTTATGCCAGATAATTGTGCATTGTAGTTATTCTAAGGGGACTTAGTCCCAGAATAAAATTTCTCCTATATACACATGGGAGCCAGGGTAAACTCAGAGTTGACTCAGCATTCAAAAGAACTAGTCACATGGTGGCTTATAAAACTTCAGACTACTTCTAGAACGTTCTAGATAAAAAACTGATTAATATTATAAATTTATTATACTGTTTTCTTTCAGTTGACGCAATGAATAAGATTATTAAATCAAAAAAGGTCAAATATAGCCATTTTCATAATAACTATTCACAAGATAATTAAACAGTTTAAGGCTGGTATATCCGTGTGGCACGGGGTTGATTCGTCAATGTGATAAGATCAATACAAAATGAATGAATAGAATAACATGATAACTTTTCTAAAGATTCTGAAGGACTCTCCAGTAAGTAGGGACAAAATGTCGTTTTGATGGTGATACATCCAACAATAATTTGTTTATTACGAGGTGAATCCCAAAAGTAAAGTTCGGTGACATAATTTAACTGGTGGTAGGCCTAAAGTTACGTAGTACGTATAACAGCTCTGTCTTCAGGAAACTGCTGCAGTTTTGGTTTCATTTAATAGTCGTCTGTCAGTCGGTGAGAGTAGATCACAATGGTCGAGAAAACCATATATCCCGCCAGTGGTATGACTACATTTTTGAAGGCGAAAGGATCTTCAGTTGCAGAACTCAATCGTCAGTTATGGCTCCTGTTTGGACCTGAAATAATAAGTGACAAACA